GTTTTTTAATTTTGTAATATAATATATTGACACATTGTTTGAGCGATAACTTTTACATTGAAACATCATTAGACGTGACTCTTTTTAACTTTGTAATATAATATCGTGACAAATTGACTCATTGTTTGAGCGATAACTTTTATGAAACATCATTAGAATTTTATTCAGTTATTAATTCATTACGATTAGTATCACTAGATTTAATGATATAGATTATCATAGCCCTATTTTCAGTGTTGACACTGTGAATGGAATCTGTTGTTTTTTTAAAAATTATTTATGAATCCGCTGTTTTATATTTCTATGAATTATAATTTATTATTGTAATGATCAAATGTATCAATTATTTATCGGTTGTACCTATGTTCTTATGTTATATGACTGTTTTACTCTTGTCATGGGCATTCCTATATTCCTACATGTAATGACTAATGAACAAAAATACCAACGCATGACCTAAAAGTAAACTAGTCTAGAATATTCACTCCATTGCAATTTCAACCCAAATTTGAATTTATGTTAAAAAAGTTAAACTTTCTAAGCCTGAATTTTGAAATTTAACATTAATTAATTTAACTTTTTTAACTTTTTTTAACGTGGACCCCCCCCCCCCCCCCCCTATTTAATTGGCGTTTTTGAAACCACGTGTGGGTCCAAATTTTGGGCTCTAAAATCATTATTCCTTGGCCAATTTTTTATTTTTTCTTGCTGATTTGGAGGCCATTAAAGCATTTGACCCAGTCAAAAAAGTTTCAGTTGTATATCTTTTACGGTTTTTGCGGAAAGTCGCGTTAAAGTTGATGCCGTGGTATCAGTAAAATGGCACGGATTTATATCGTCTCGCTTTGTATACAATAGTAAGATAGAACAAGAACTAGACATTTCAATTTTCTGTCAAAAGTAGGCAATGAGATGACAGAGTACCGGGCCCTATACTAAGCACATCTCAGCTCCAGAAATATTTTAGAGCGATTTGAAATATCTAAATGGCAAACACCTCCTGCAATTTATACAAGAGGTGACCGAGAACAAATCGCGTGTGTACTGCATAACGGTAACCAAAATCAAAATGAATCTAAGGCCCCGTATAAGTCTAAATTATTCCGCCGTCAAATATACCAACCTTTTATAATTTTAAAAGTTAAGTAGCGTACCTGCGACAAGATCGATCTCTAATAGTGGGCGTATTTTATTCATTAGTAGTATGCGATCATAATCTTGTTCCTGAAGTTGTTGTACTAGACTCATTGTCAGGCAAAGTTATAAACATAATTGCAGATTGTTCATTGTGCATCAGCTCATGTATTTTCCATGCAGGGTACTCGGGGAAGCACCGCCAAATACAACAAAACAGGACAAACGACTCCAGGCCCAGTAATACCCCGCACTTTTAGCACGTGCAGCCTGACTAGCCGCGGCTTCGTGACGCGACACGTGCTTAGATAAATGCTGTATAAAATATACTGCATACTTTAGAAGCTCAAAACTTGGTGGTAAGATAACTAGACTGTGATCAGAGTTGCCACTAAGTATGATCAGAGTTGCCACTAAGTAGTCATGTGTTGACGCTTCCGCAGTTAAAGTCAGCTGTACTCCTCAGACCAGTGACCGTTGATGTTGATAGTGATGAAAATAAAAATGTCGGCCAACCTTTGTTCTGCTGTCACTACCTATCTTTTCTATAAGGCTATTAAAGCACTTGTGGGCTCATTCAACAGTGGCTTGGTCAATTATGAAAATAAACCGCTGATGAACCGTGTTTGTAATTTATATTTTTCATATTCTGATTATAAATGGGAAGGGAGCAGCGACTAAAAACAACAATGATGAATGAATGATGTAGAATAATAAATGTTAATTCAAAACTGTAGTCTTTGATTTTCTAGAACCACAAACTAGAAAAATTTGACACAATTGTTGAAAACACAAATGTTTTGATCGATAAAAAGTTACATAAAAAACAATTGATACGTAAAAGAAAACGCGCAAAAATACCAAAAAATAAAAATTAATCGACTTTTTGTTAAACAAATTTCGATACGAAGAAGTTTTTCTAAATATATTTTTCGTTGACGAAATTGTTTTTGTTCCGTTCAAAACGTTTTCTGTAATTTTTTAAAGCAGTTCTGACCCCTATAACGTTAGAGTGATGGTAGCAGTCATTATTTCCTATCACGTACGGTTGGTTGGTTGGCCGTTGTAGTCTCAGTAGTAACAACAATCGAATAAAACGCAACATATTAGTAAAAGTAGACTACTAGTCTACCCTCCCCGCTGAGGATCCAACCTATTACCCTAAACCTGGTCGACCTGAGCCTAATAAGCCGTGCACGGTGCAATATACTAACTTATTAAATAGTTAAATAGTGTAAACAGTACGAGATAGTCCGCATAGTAGGAGTATTACGTTGATTTGCCGGCTCCAGTACCTAGTGCCTACATATGATGATCATACTGTTCTGCCATAACATGGTGACCTCTTTTACCTGAAATTGGAATACTAGACTTACTATAAACGATCATTGATAACCAGGGCAACAATTCTACTCCCATTATCGCTCATTCAATATTCAGAAATTCGATAATGGAATATGGGGCCACCTTGATTTTCTAATTATGCTATTAGTCCAAAATTCAGCTCCCACCCAGTGACAGACCTGGATAACTGTCAGTGTCATAAATCAAACCACATTGTAATACCTCCTCCTCCTATCTATATTACAAACCAATAATTTTAGAAAAGGCAAATTATTACTACTATTATAACAGTCGTAATTAATAGCTTTGAGCTGTCTACTTGATACATCAGCTCATAAGCTCCTGTGTCTTGCTCATGAACTATTCAAACTAATTAAGGGCGGCTCTGTAATGATCTACAAATTTCAATTAATATTCTGATCTATATATATATATAATATACTAAAACATCCGACCGTTATACTACTTTACGTCACGTATAACAAAAGCATTATAGTATTAGTATAGTATAAGTATAGTCAAATCAAATTCGCTTTGATGTTGTTGCGATCAGTGGAGATACAAGGCACTGCAATGATAACAAACCATCTTGCTCACTGCTTAGTATATTGTACACAAAATGCTAGCCCTGAATATCTAATTAAATTTAAAATAAAATGAGAAGTTATATTCAGATGACGAAAGTAGACAGGAGTGTCATGCTCATGCTGGTTTAACGATAATAGGTTAAATGATCAAAAACGTTAAATTTCATATCTAATGATACAAATTGAAGGTGAACGAGAAAATCTTTTTTCTAGAACAGACGAGACTTAAAAGTTCTAACAATTTATTTCATGATGTATGTTAGATTGCTCATGAGCTAAAAGTTTGATGAATTTTACTATGCACAATCCGTCTACGTTAATAGTTTTGTTGAATTTTCGTTATTACTATTCTAGTTTATTCGATATATCTTATCTGGATAAAATGCTGGCTTTGCGACATGCAAGCGGAAGTTTATCAGTGGACATAGACGTGTTTTGTCACGTGACAGCAATTAACTGATCAGCTTGGCGCCTCAAGCAAACAAATTCCAGCAATCCTACACTTTTCGAAACAAATAAATATCACGTCGCTATTACAGTTACAAAGGTTCATCATCATTCTCTACCAGCAATTAGCTGCGCCTTACTAACCCTCCTAATAGTTAACCATAACAAGACAACAGAACAGTGTGACGATGAGTACGTTGGTTACTGAAGTAAAGAGAGTCAGAAGAAGTTCTTTATCATGATCCGAGACTAAATTTGATATCGGTAATTCCCAAGTTAGAATACTCATTATTTGCCGAGTACCCTAATAATAATATAATTTAGAAGGGTTGCTACCGTTACCAGCAACTTCAAAATCACACTGTATTAAGCTCGGTCAAATTGTAATCTTCAACGCTAGGATCTGTAAAGCCTGTACTCCCATGACACCTTAAATACTAAATAGCTAAAACAGATTCGCCACGAATACAGCTCCGTGAGACCTCGCAGTTTATGCGAGATAATTATGATCTGCTATCTCTAGGCTAAAAGGTTTGGCGCTATGATTTCCGCTTTAGGTGGTAATGGTGTGAATCACACTTTGATATTGCATTACAGTGATGATACTTTTGATTAAATGATTGGTTTCACTGGATACTGTATAATAATCAGCAGCTTCATTCTCAGTCTGCAGTCTGCAGTAGGTTGCACTGTTCCGGTACTAATTATAATGCAGGCACTCCTCACTTACCTCTTGGTTTATTCATATTATATGCTATTTAATTATCCATTATCAGTAGTCTTTAACTTAGCTTATGCTACTTCCTGGTTGCAATTTGCAGCCTAACTAGACACCTCATGTAAAGGTATGTCTAGTTGAACACTGAAGGTAACAGGGACTCAACAGTGGTAACATCATCACAGTTTTAATTGGCAGGTCTAGGCCAGGGGTTCAAGGTTGGAACCACTATCTTAGGGGCCGCAGACTAGTGACCACTACTTTTAAATTGTTAATTTTAATAAGGGTCTCCTCACATACTTAACAGTCTCCAAATTCTCAACAGTTAATGTCTGGCACAATGGATTAATAACATTGCGAATTAACACCACCAGTGAATGGTGGATTGTTAAATAAAATAACTATACTTTGTTGCAAAATTTATGATTTATTAAACCACAAACCAAAACATGTTATTATCTGCATCAGACGACAGACACACAGACTAAATACTTATACCACGTTGTTAGATAACAATGACCACGTGTTAAATAACAATGCCCACGTGTTAAATAACAATGCCCACGTGTTAATGACCACGTGTTAATGCCCACGTGTTAATGCCCACGTGTTAATGCCCACGTGTTAATGCCCACGTGTTAATGCCCACGTGTTAATGCCCACGTGTTAATGACCACGTGTTAATGCCCACGTGTTAATGCCCACGTGTTAATGCCCACGTGTTAATGCCCACGTGTTAATGCCCACGTGTTAATGCCCACGTGTTTCAGGACATGACGAGTATTGTGAGGCGGTTATCACGGGACATGGAGAGATGTGAGGGTGCTGTTTCCAGCAACACTGCCGCTATTAACACACTCTCAGCTAGACTCGCTACTCTGGAGGGTGGTAGTGCTGTTAACGCTAATATGGACACTAGGATAAACAGGTGAGATACAGGGGAGACACTGGAAACTAAAGAGAATATTTGATTAACTTAATTAAATTAATTAACTTAATTAACTTAATTAACTTAATTAACTTAATTAACTTAATTGACTTAATTAACTTAATTAACTTAATTGACTTAATTGACTTAATTAACTTAATTAACTTAGTTTGAAAAAATATATTTTGATTTATCAATGGTTAATATGTCAGTTTAAAGCTGTTTTTAGGTTCATGTTCGGAATGTTGGTCTGCATTTAAAACATACTGTTAAAATCCAAAGCTGAAGCAGCTAAACCTTCAAAACAGCAAATTCAATGCTTTCAACAACTTCTGGTCGGAGATTCTTAAAGTGGGCAGATAGTTTAATACAGTAATACGTGGCCATTGCAAACCCATCGATATACAGCTGATCTTAGTATTAGTAACATCGCTTGGTAATAATCCGCTTTTAATTTATCATAACCAACGATCTTACTTCTATTCATGGGTAATTCATGCGCTACGCAATGGCTGATAACTTTATAAAATCAAGATTGTACGAGTGGGGTACGAGTGCACCATATTACCCTAATTGTAATTTAGTTCGACATCTGCGATCAACCTGCAATTTATTCATGAAATTACATAATTTAGGCGGACCATGCTGTTAGCAGCTCAACAACCAGTCACTTTACGCGCGTCACGCTAAATAAAATATTCATACGATGTATGAAACTAAAACAGCTACTTCTTTAACATAATTGTAATTGAACGAATAACAACGATGGAAAGGAATGAAAAGAATAGAAATAATAAAAGCTTCTACATTCTTTTGAATGTTAACTTACAAAGTAATGGCCGCGTTATCTTCTCTTCAGACGCTCTTATCCTTATTTAAAGTATAAATGTTAGGATCTTGTTTAGCCCTTGTTTAGCCCTAATATAAGTTCTTTAATTCTTACAAATTTACTTTCCAAACTTGCAATTTAGTTGACATAGTTAGTGGGCAATCAGAGTTATTACAAAGCATTGTGAATTTGGAATTGTATCCTACTTATTCTGTTGACCATCTAATATCAAAAGCATGGGAAATTTGTCTAAATATTTAGTTTGATATCACGTAATCCTTTAAAATACGGCTTATATATACGATATATATATATGATATAGATCCCTAATATCACGCGAGCTTGTCAATCTCGTTACTACGCCTAATTACCCCTTACTTGGGTGCTTGTGAACCATAACCCCTAATTGGGAAACCTTGTGATCCGACGGGACCCGATTTACCGTGCACCCGATTTACCGTACTATTTTCCGTAAATCGAGGTCTTACTGTATAAAAACCTATAAAGTGTTAAATTTTCTAATCAAAAATAAAAATAGTACAATGATTTCCAGTTTTTTAAGAGTCGCTTTATAAAATTGTAACTCCATAAAACAAATCATGTGTCCTGTAACACCTCTTTTTTGTCCATCAGGTGCGATGTTGGAATAACAGAGCTAGTGAGGGAAGTAAAGGAATGCAACAGAAATATCAACAAAGTAAAACAAGTAACGGAGGCTCATACAAGTGTACTGACAGAGAGGAACAGAACACAGGACAGTAAAGTGCTGGATTTGGAGCAGGTTATAGGCAAATTGGAGTCGGAACAGAGTCGTCAAATCGCCAATCTTAGAGGTGTGCTTTGATTAGGTTATGTTATAATCAGGTTATGTTTTATATTATAATATGTATTTAATTTGAGAATACTTACTTGGATTTCTAGAAGAATTAACTCGTTAATTTCATGGCCCTGGATTTATAGGTTTTTTAACATACAATTTTGTTCGCATTGTTTGTTAGTATTCGTCGAAGGCTAACGAATACTTATCTTCACGGGTAAGGAATTATAATTCGGTATTAACAGATGAACTCGATTTAAAGCTTGAGGGACACAAAGCTCCGAGAGCAAGTTGTATGTGATCAGAATATGTGTAATGTGCGGGATGTTTAGAGCCTCTGTCAGCATGTTTATATCTCTAATCCTAGCTAGCGATGAGTACATGTACATGCATAAAATTCAAATCTAACGACTGCTTCTGCTCTCTTAGAATTTGCATCAGAATAAAATTAAAAGCAATAGACTACTCAGTTGTTATGGTACATGGTTAAACAATCTGACTGCAAAACATGTTTAAGATAAAATAGGATGAGGGACTATACTAGGGATTGACAACCAGTTCTGATCGACAAACAACTGATAAACAGTTAATCGATAAAAAGTGATAATAACCGGGGTAATAAAAACGTTTTACGATAGTTAGCAGTTAGAATAAGAGGTTATCCTATAAAAAATGTCTTCACAATTAGTTGTCGAACTATTAATATTTCTCAGATGCTAGCCGCCAAGTGTTAATTTAACAAGGCCTCACTTTAATTACAAGAGTAATTTACAATGACGTAATTAAGTGATTAGAGTGCTGATTAAAGTGGTGTTGAGCTAGTTCCTTACTCCAGCGAGGCCGTTACATCAATGCCCAGAACGAGTCCAATATTATACTGGTAGCCAAGCTTTCAATTGGTCCTTAGACCTAACTTAGACTGTGCAGTGTGCGTTTTGTAATTGATGACGTCATCAAATATCTTAATTAATGTAACTACAAACGGAACTCGCGGGTAAAATTACAGATCTCAGGAAACTAACCGTCAACGTAATTAAAGATAAAAGCGAAGCACCGCTGGGAACGGCGATATACTGACCATCCGAATATTATTGCTCACAATTTCATCTCAGCAAACTGCAAAGTTTATTCGATTGTGGGCATCAAATGGTTGCGAGGTACGCGAAAAGATACACAAAAGGTGGCGATTTGAAAAAGCGGTTGACTTGCGGTTTGAATGTCTATAGAACTGTCGAAACGTTTTTTCGTGCCATGCAGAATTTAAATGAAGTTCAGTAAAACATCGTTTTAGCAGACCATTTTGATATAACATTTTGCAAAATATGTACGAGGCCTTATGGCGGCGTGAAAAGCAATAGTAAACGAAGGAGAAAGTCTGAGCATGCAAAAGATGAATTAACATCACTGTTGAGACTACTCCGTTCCTCCAGCATGGTTAACGAATGATCTTTAATTTTAAAGGAATCGCGTTAAGATGAAGATGTAATTATTAATAACTCTAGAAGTGTAGTGAATTGGTTCGTTAAATACTTGACAACGACTTGGAAAACTAGGCAGAGAAAGCTATCTGGAGGTCGATCCAGGACCGGTATCAAACTTTTATTAAACCAATTACCGCACATTCTCGAAACTAAAGAGGCAGCAAAAAGAACCAATTGTTGCTAATTAACCGCTCATATTTTATCAAGATGACTAATGACTATAAATTAGTTATCATTAGTCTCATTAATAGAAAGTGGAGTTGACTTTAAGTTACAACATTTCTACCCGATTATATTATTTTGGCCTACCACTTAGAGACACTTTTGGTACTAATCGGTAATTACCCTTTATGAATTCCACTCTATCTTCCACGTGACAACAACACGTGATGTTTGCCTTTTCTATAATTTTTTTCATGCTTTTATGAACTTCGTTATTATGCACTTTTTTCATCATATTACTTCACACTACGATTCATACTGATTCATACTTTACACTTACGTCGTTTTTAATTCAGAGGAATACTCAATACATGTTACGAAGGGCATTTATCTCTAATCTCTATACAATTTTACGGTCTTTTCTCATGGCCAAGTGACACCAAACTTAGTAAGTATATCGATTCATGACGATACTGGGAACTTCTGGGATTTACTAGTTATCGTTATGTATCATTTAATCATTTAATTATATAAGCATGAAGACCTTACAGTCCTCGGTAAGGGCTGCAATCACCTTCGGATTGCAGGTTGCATATCTAGGTTTTTTCCTTTATATGTCGAGGCGGAAAAGGTGCAGGAGACCACCTTCTCCACGATGGCATCTGATACAATAAATTACAACACGTGTAGTGACTAGAATAGAAGCTAGAGTTTGTTCAGTGGCAGGCAGCTGGCAATGAACACCTCATGTTCTGAGGTAGCAAAAGTAGGACGCTGCAGGAACTTTCGGTAGAGCTAGAGATTGGTCACATATAGTGACCATGACACCCTGAATACTCAACAAATTGTGGTTGTTTCCTACTCTCTAATTTAAATCGGCGCATGGAAGTGCGCAAATCTACTAATTAGCGAGAACGGTTCCCAGATCTGCCTGACACAATCTCCGAATCACTACTTTATCCAGCTTACTGCTCATGATCGGCTGTTATAAGCCAGTTTTTGATCTCCAATTTTGCGTATCATACACAAGACACGTTCTCTGTAGGGAGCTTATGATGGATTTATAGGGCTGCTCTCTGTACAAACATAAGTTTTGTTGCGTAGTAATTGTGGGGAAGTGTGACAAGTTTGGGCAGGTCACTAGTTGTCGTGACCTAGACCAGACCAAACTGACAGTCCTCGGCAAAACAGACTCCGAGAACGTCGTTGTTCTCTGAAAGCATATCGACATCGTTACTATTGACAGAAAGAATCTGCGAACATGACCCAAAATATTTTATTCTCGGTGGTCGAAATTGATGAATTTGTATACAATAATCTTGATAACGTGTGAAAACATTAATTGCAGAGCCCAAGTCAAGTAATGAGAACAGTAATATAATAATAATTTATCGCTAAGTAAAGTTGTAAAGGCAGATATACATATATTACAATATTTTGCATTAAACTCGTTAAGTAAACTAAATGTGAAAGTGGTAAGTTAAGATATATAATTTATTATCGTGTGTTGAAACCTGGTAAACTGATTTAACATAACTAGCATTGTTGTCAACCCTTATTCAATATTCAAGGTATCCATCGACCACCACGTGTCAAGAAGAATCGCTCGTAATAGGAGGTGGCCAATAATTTAACTCGATGTGACCCGGTTATCAGACAGCACTTACTTACAGCACTTACCGAATATTATATTTCTGCTGTTAAATTGGCTACCAGACAATAAAACCCTCTGATATTTAACTACCTAGACAATTAACAATCAGCGGCCGATTGGTCTGACACGTATTAGCCAATCAACTGGAATTCCATACAATAAGGCCCCTCAGAGGGCCTTATGGTCGGCCACCGACCATATAAATTAACATTTATAAATTTACCAAGGCTATTAAATTAATAGTTGATGATATATAGATTATAATTCCTAATATTTTGCAGACCAAACCAAAGAGCTTGGAACCGTGTCCGTATCTTTAGAGCGTGGAGTCACAAAAGATATGTCTCAACTAAGGGAAGCTTGTCTCAATCGAGTTGATCGCCGAATCGAAGACTTGGAAGAGAGATGTACGTCGCAGTTCGGAACAAGAGACCAACGGATCGACGAAATAAATGGTTCGTTAGAATCAGGGAAACATTATAATTGGATTTAATGCTTTACTTTCAAGATTAATTTGACGATATTTTTGAGTTTCCTCTTCACTCAATGACTACTGAATTACTATATCAATTATTTAATGTTCCTCCAGACTTTAACTTTTTTTGAGTCTATATTTCATTTCAGAATCTCTGGCCAGTGCAGTCGAACAGATCAATCGAGAAGTAGAGAAATTGAAAGAAAAACAAACCAGCACTGGGAAACAAGTGACACAGAATGAAACAGATGGATCTAAAACTATCTCCAGGTAAAGAGGGTTAAACTGCTGCATATTTTCTGAAAAGAAACTGAAATTGTTGGCACTATTATTATATAAAAGGAGCAGTGCGAAGCTGAGCAAAAACTCACTTATATTCACTTCATTCTTTTCGAAACAATTGTCATCGCATCTGTTGAATACTAGTTAGTACCCTGTATACTGCTAAAGACTGCATTATAATTATATTCAATTTGGTTAGGTACCAAATTAATTGCGTAATTACAATGCTACAGATCATTGGTATGAATGGCCTTTTCTTTTTCCTACAATGATATTCTTATTTTTGTCCTATAAAATTTGCCCTGCCGTTCGCTTATCATTCATTTTAGACTTGAAAACAGCTTAGTTTAGAAGATCCAGGCCACAGGGATTCTCCACATATTCATAGTTATAACAAATATGTTACATCGTTATCCCAAAGCTAATTATAAGTTGTGTTGGTGGTATTGATAATTGATACCATTAATGTAACTTAAATTGTAGACATTTATTTTGCTAATAATAATATCCCCCCTCCAGACTGCGCGGTGAATGTATGAGTGGTTTCAAGACACTACAAGAAAGCATTGATACCATGCACAGTATTCTCGACAGTAAGATAGAGCTGGTGGAGGACGAGGTCAGATCGGAGATAAGGAAAGCTATGAAAACTGTTGTTTTGACCTAGTTTATAAAGAATGGGGACTTTGAACCGAAGCTTTTTGTCAACTGTTGTTGGACTATTAGGACAAGATGGATAATGGATATGGAATTTCAGGATCATTACAGTGTTTTCAAGATTTGAAGTTTCTTTAAGGAGAGGATCTATTTTTACGCACTAAATTTAATTAATAATTTTAACTCAAGTTTTAAATTTGGGTAATTTTTGAGAATATGATGTCAGACCTCTAACAAAGATGGCAGTTGATCGTAATTCCGTTCTAAAATTGCATTGTGCTTATTAACTAACTATAACGGCTTAATGAAGACCTCCGCATTCAATACTCGATAATAATTTAATATTACAATAGTTTTGAGTCTGTAATTTAAGAAATTGAGATGTCGCTCGAACAGTTAATATTAATGGTACGTCAAAATCAAATTATCAATATGCTCAGTATAGTAGTCCGTGCTAATCACAGGGCTAATTAAACAGAAATAATAAGTACTTTGATCTTGTGAAGAAATATTATATATGCTCTTTAAAAAAAACCAATTTGATGCCAACTCTACGCTTATTGGGTGCCCTGTTAACTGTGTGGAAACTAGGCTCAATTCGGTTCGGTCATCTTCAGAGTTCAGACGTATTATTAACAATTTTAATTTCCATCGTTTTAAAATATATTGTATTTCAAAATCTTAAATATTATTCAATCCAGCAGCTTTAGCTGATTAACATGACCATGTATACTAAATATTATGTAGCTTATAGTCAATTTGAATAGTTACACTGTATGATATGTATAAAGATATTTATTTCTCGTTATTCCCAATTATTGTTATACATTATTATACTCTAGTAAATCTTATGTGGTGATTACTGGGGTCCCCAGGTAAATGTGGTAAATTATGTCATAATTTTGAGGAGAAAACCCCGGTTTTATATTAATTTTGGACCTAAATGGATACATTGTTAGATGAAAAGTACAATATAGGATAACTACTGTACAGCATACTGATACAGTGTACACTTTTCAATAAGTTACAAAGAATTACAGCGAAACCTGTCAATTACAACAATGATTACTTTCACTTTCAGACTGATAACTAATAGAAAAAAAATTAAAAGTATCACTTGACTGTTAGACACTCCCTGTATCGCGATGGGTATATACTCAGTTATTTGATATTAGAAGTGAGAAACATTCCAACTGCTAACTGAAGTTAAGATGCAAGATATCGCAAACGTTATAAATTAGCTTGTTACAATTTACACATTAGCTCTCGTTGAGTGTCAAAGTGGTATGGATTAAGACACTAGAAGTTAGTTCGATATATTATGGTTAACATCTTAAAATAATTATTGAAGAATTCTAGGACTCTATTCGTCTGGCTTGGCTGATTCTTTCCCCTCTCCTCTGCCTCCTCTTCCACGATCTCCTCTGCCTCCTCTTCCACCTGTCAGTTCATAAATTAGTACGGAAATTTGGTTGTAACTATGTATGTTTTACCAAACAAAAAAAACTTTAGGAAACTTGACTTGACGTCGTTAAAAATAAATTGGGATTCAGTTTAAAGCTGCAGTGCTGAAATAAGAGCCGAGCCGAACAAAACACAAAATAGTTCATTCACCTAAAAGTATGACCTAGCGATAAAAATCATGATTCTGCCCTCTATCCGGTAGTGTACGTTATGAAGTTTAGTCAGTCTCATGGCCAAATTTGCCCAACTTTTGTGCGAATCCGATACTTTAATTGTCGTAAATTGAGAATGAGATCAATCAACAAACCTCTCTGGGGTTTTCCTGCTGGTTCAGCTTCCTCTCCTTCTCCCTGAGATTGTTGTTTTCCAGCTCCTCTGCCACGGCCCCTACCTCCTCTCCTTCCTCTATTCTCCCCTCCCTCAGTCTCTACTTCGCCTGCTGCATCCTCCTTACCGCCTCTCTTTCCTCCTCTGCCTCGTCGTCCTCTCTTTCCTTCCCCACTATCCTCTGTTCCTTCACCTTCTGGTCTACACTCTGATTTTCCTCCTCTGCCTCCTCTTCCTCCTCTATTCGTCTTACCACATTCGCCTCCTTCTGACTCTTTTCGTTCCCTACCTTGACCCCCTTCCTTGCCTCCTCTTCCTCCCCTACCTCTCTCTCTACCTTCTTGTCCTACTCTACCGCCTCTACCCCCTCTTTTGCCCCCATCTGGAGCAGGGCCCTCTCCTTCCTCTCCAGCATTCCCTCTTCCTCCACGGCCCTCTCCAGCATTCCCTCTTCCTCCACGGCCCCTTTGCCCGCCTCGGCCTCTTCCTCCTCTTCCTCCGTCATTTTCTACCTCTTCCGCATCTTCTGAGATGAACAATAAGTTTAAAACAACGTTTAAGTTTAAATTATTATGAAATTTAGCGATATTATATTTATAATATCACTACAAATGCACGACCACTTCTAACTTCGCGGCAAATAGCCACGAAGTGGTTCAACTTTAACTTTAAGTTTAACAGAAATCACGTATCGCGAAGGGAGACAAATTATAGTTATACTTACTACCTACAAATCTATAGCCATAGGGCTGTTTTCTGTCTTATTGGAACTACTAAAATGGCAAGAGATGTCTCCTGTTCAACTCACCGACTTTAGGTTTCAAATCTGCTGCCATCTTTTTTATTCTAGTCAATGCTACTTAACAAACGTCTGTATCAAAGGAAATAATAAAATACTCACATTCTATCCGCTCATAGTCCTAGTCATAAAATCAAGTTTGCGTGGGACTTAAATTTGATTTTACTTCTTGGCTTACTAATACTATACATTCTGATTTTTGGCTTACAGTTACAATACACGTTAAATTTTTCAAATAGAAAATTATTAATTAAGGAAATCTATTAGTAAATGATATTTTTAATGTACTTAACACATCCTGGTCGTGCTTTCCAGTATGGGGCGAATGTAACATTGTAACATGTAATGTGTAAGGTCACATTCGGAAGTACTAGTAGAATGTAACTGTAACTGTAAGGGCAAAGTAGAGGGACAACGGTAAGCTTATAGTTATAGGTGTAAGTATAACGTATTCCGTGTAAATAATAATACTCCAATCCGGATTTTACATGTAAGTATAACGGTTTAATGCGATTTTACCAGACTGACGCGACTTTACCAGACTGAAGACTCATCATTTAAGGTAGCCGTACTGGTAAGAGTAGGATACTGATAGTATTAGTATAAAACCAAGAACAAGCTCTGCCTGATTGCTGATTTCACGATTATCGGAATGTGTGATACCTATCAAGCGAATCTTTTATAATATAACTATATTAATATATAAGGGGAAATTACGATATTATATGAGGTTTTGGAGAATTTTTAATGTCAATTCTGGAACTTCTTCCATGTTTCCAGTCCAGATCCGAGTAATTATGAATTAGCTGAAGTTTAACGGGTGATACTCGTAAAATATCTGAGTCCAACTCGGCGCGCGTCCTGGTAGGTTGTAAACCTACAAGCTGAAGTGTTTGCCAACCTCTAGCAGCTGCTGAATTAATATGTACTGTGCGCTACACCCTCATAATCCCAATCTCAGAGCCGAATGATGATTAATCGCACTGACTACACTCGACTGTCACCTGACTTTTTAAATATGTAATCATATCAGTAATAATTCCTCTACCATGTTTTGAACTAAAAACAAACCTTCTGGACGACTTCAAGGAATACAAGGAATACAAGGAATACAAGGAATACAAATTTAAAATCTTGAGCTACAATAGTAACTGTTAAGATAATAACAATATCATAAGATTTGAATTTATTATATTAATATAACTTAACTAAAGTGAAAAATAAAGATTTGACATAGAATATTTTGTTTTCAGTCGCCTTGGTAATGCTGTAATGCTTGAGCCAGGTCACTTTGCAGTTTGCACTCGTCGTTGCGCGAAAAGAAACAAAAGCGGGTACAGTGATTTTCAGTGTTCACTGTTCATGTACTGGCCAGAGAGTCAACAAATTTCTTGCGGTTGTTAAAACACGTAGTGGCAAACCTAGCAACGACTCTCGTGAGGTGGACTTGACTTTCGTTCGTGATAAGTTCAATGATTTCACTGTTGTTGCTGATGAATTTGAGGACGTTTGCTCCAGGGATGACATTGTGAACAGAATAAGATGTCGCAGACGGTTTGATTGGATTTGATATGAGTGACTGGATCTTGTCTAGGACTTTTCGCCTCGATGCAGCGTTAAGATCACAATGGTTAAGGAAGTGATCTTCATTCTCAATAATACCAGAACCTAAGACTATATTGCACCAGGAGCATATTCGCTCGTCACGAGGAGTTTGATTATATCGGCCAAGTTCAATTTCGAGTCGATGTGCACTGATCCGCAGTCTTGTGATATTAGCACGGTCTGCATATTTAATGACACTATCTAGGTAATACTCTTTGTTAAATTTGGATTTTAGGTCACGATAGAATTCTAATTTCCGAGAAGTGTTGATACAGGACCCCCAATATTCTCTAAAGTTACATTTCAAAGTTTTAGTAATGACGTGTGGTGTGAATATTTTACTCCCGATGGGTTGTGTTGATTGAGGAGGAATTCGTTTCTTGAAACCGTTGTGAATAAGAAAGTCCTCTTTTGGTGGTTTTGCGATACTCGGGTTTCTTTCGAAAAGTAACTTGGAGTGATTGTTTTTGAGTGTGCGGTAGGCTGTGACATGATCGGTAGAGAAACATGGGTCTAGCGCGAGGACAGGCTCCAAACCCCTGTACCAGTCCAATTTCATGTTCATCTGTTCTTTGAAAGCTAAGGAGACAAGGGAGTTATCTTTGAGATTTTTCAAACGTTGGCTATATTTGAGAGTGAGGTTAATACATCCATAGATTAATGGGTAGCGGCCTGACTCACCCCAGACGCCTGCGTTGCTGGCTTTACGATTTACCCCCAGTGACCATTTAAGAAAGTGAAGGTGAACTTTTTCGCTGTTCAGAAGGCTAACTTTCTTGAGGATACTAGTTTGAAATTTTGTTTTTGTGTCGGCATCCATATTGAGATCGACTTGTTTTGTTATGTGTTTTATGATAGCCATGTTAGGTGTGTAAATAGGCGCTCCGTAAAGAACGATAGGTTTAATAAGACCATCAAAGAGTGTTGTTAGAGAGCGGAATGATAATTTGGATTTGTTTACTGAGCTTTTCATGGCATAAAGTGCACGCATGGCTTTCTTTTTGAGCTCAGTTCGGGCATTTGTGAATGTGCCGGATTTGTGTATTTCGATTCCTAGATAGCAGTATGACTCGACTTCTTCTAACAAGTGATCACCAATTTTGAGGGGAACCGGCTGATAAGTATCAAAACGGGCATTAAATTTCATGAGTTTAGTTTTATCTGCATTAATTTCGACGCCCCATTCCAAGCAGAAATTGTTCAAAGCATCGAGTTGCTTTTGGAGGGTTTTGGGGTCCAGTGCCAAGAGTATCAGATCATCTGCCCATAGTAAGTGACTGATAAGTTGGTTCATTAGTTTCGGACAGTTATCATATTCTAGTCGAGGGGAAAGATCTCTGATGTATATCTTAAATAGATCAGGGGAAAGTGGATGACCCTGTTCAGTTCCTTTATTGATATCAAATTTTTCGCTGACAAATCCAGATAGTTTTATCTGGCCAGTGGAATTTTTATACATATGTTTAAGAACATTAAATGTTTTGCCAGTGATACCTAGTTTAGCTAATTTCAAGAAAATAGCTTCACGGCAAACAGAGTCGAAGGCCTTCCGGAAGTCCACAAAAACAGCATAGACGGGAACCTTGAGCTTTTTGTATTTAGACGTAATTGTGTTGAGTGTGAGTATGTGGTCATATGTTTGAGCTCCTTTAGCGAAGCCAAGTTGATTTATGGGGTCCGGGTTGTATTCATTTTTGAACTTGATTATCCTGTTTAACATGATGGTCGAAAATAATTTTCCGATTGTACTACTCACAGCAACTGCTCTGTAATTGTCTGGATTATCTTTGTCGCCTTTTTTGTGTAGGGGTGTAATAATGCTGTTGTTCCATGGGTAAGTTCCAGTGTCCAAACAGCGGTTAAAGACTTTGCAAAGGAGTTGTGTGTTTGTTGTGGACAAGGTCTTCAGTATTTCATTACATATCATATCCTCCGAGGAACTTTTGCCGTTTTTGAGTGAAGAGATCGCAGTAGATATTTCGTCCACAGAGATCTGGCCATTGAGTATTGATTGTGCAGGGGATGGTTGGAAATTATTGTTAATAGCCTCTGCATTTTGAAGCATTTTTTCCTTATTCTCTACAGTTATGGTGCTATGTGCATTGGCATAAAGTTTACCAAAGAATTTTTGAAAGTTGTCCATGTCATGGCAATCAAATTTGTCAACTCTTCCTTTAAATTTTTTCAGTTTTTTGAATTGTTTCCAGTTTAGAATTTTACCAGATTCAATATCTGTATTCAGTTTGTCAAGATATTTGTTTTTTGTACGGTCAATTAAACTTTTGTATGTATTTTTTACCTGGTAAAAATTTTTTCGAAGATAATCGCTATTGGGGAAATCAGAAACAATTTGAGCTGCACGAGTACAAGATATTTTAGCTTCTCTGGTGGCTTGTGTGAACCAGGGTTGTTTATTTATTGATCCCTTTTTGGTTATTTTGGGATGTTTGGTCTTTTGGAGACATTTGTCTGCTATTTTGTTCAAGTGTACTGTGATATCTTCGTTTAATTTGTATGTACCTATGAGATCTTCGGGATAATCTGTTTCTAAGAGGCTTTTGGAACATTCTTCCACAAGTGGGTCCATCATTGTATCCCGTAAGCTTGAAAGGCTATCAGGAGTTATTTTGTAACGAAGTGGGGCTCGAGCGTAAGTTTCATGGAGTGCCTTTGTGTTTACAAGAGTGTTGGAAGGAGAGAAGTTGAGTGCCAGGAGTAGTGGTTTATGATCAGAAAAGCAAGTGAACGGCTGGATTGTCATATGACTTAGATACTTACTGCAGTTTGGGGATATAATAAAGTAGTCAACAACGCTGGCACCGCTGGTCTGAATACAAGTGAAGTCACCATATGAGTCTCCTAAAGTTCTCCCATTGAGAATATGGAGTTCATTATTGACAAGCATTTCTAGAAAGGGTCTTTTGTAATTGTTCGACTTTTTGTCCTTTGAGTTCCTGGTTGGAAGTTCTTGTGGAGTGTAGTCTTCTGGCAGGGGAATGAAGCTCTCGTAGCCACATTTGTCCTCTTTGATAAAGTCGATGTCATGGCCGATACGCGAGTTGAAGTCACCACAAGTAATGACATCACCTTTACTTAAAAGAACATTGAGAAATTGGTCCAGTTCACGGATGGTGTCAAAGCCCGAAATATTTGAGTTTTTAGAGGAAGTGTTAGCTGGCTTAATGTATGAGTTAACAATGAATATATCATTATCTACGCCAAAGTAATTTTTGTCAAGTTTACAGGCAACAACATCTTCAATTGTGGATTTTTCAAGTTTAACGCCTTTGGATATTTCGTTTTGGACCATTATGCATACGCCACCATGTTTTTTGTCCCGGCGGGTTTTATTGAAGGACCTGTAACCCGAGTGTTTGACAGGTTGTCTTATTTCTTGAAGGCAGACAATAGGAAACTTGTCAAAGACGGCAC